AGCTAAGTGAGGCGGTGAAAAGAATGCTGACCCCAGAGTCAGGAAAACATGAGTTCAAATCCAGCCTCAGACACTACCTAGAGGTATGATCCTGGGCAAATTATTTAACCTCTGTTTACCTCAGTTTCCTTAATTATAGAATGGGGATAATAATAGCACCTACCTCTTAGGGTTGTTATGAGAATCAAATGAGAAAATTTGAAAAAATTTGGAAAAATTTCAAAATTTTCAAAAAATTCAAATTTAAAAAATTTGAAAAGTGCTTAGCACAGTGCCTGGCACATAGTTGGTGGTGAACAAATGTTTGTTGCCCTCTTCTTCCTTTACTTTAAGTGACTTGACCACAGTCACAGAACTACAAAGTGCCACTCATGTTCTTCTTGACTTTAGATACAGCATTCTTTTCCATAATATCATGGTAGCATGTTTTCCTACCTTAGTTCCTATATTTGCAAATAAATAAACAAACATAAACACTCAGAAGAAAGGTTGTAAAATATATTCTAAAGAAATGACGAACATTGGGTAGTCAAGCTGAATGATCTCCACTTACATAAAGATGCAGAGACAACTCAGCATAATGGATGAACAAAGCTGGGAAAATCTGGGTTCAAGTCCTAGTTCTGATACATATTGGTTGTATGACCTTGGGTATGAGTCATTTACCTTCTCAGTGCTCTAAGATTATTTGTTACAGAGAAGGTGCTGGTCTGCATTTGGTAGAAAGAGTTTCCTATTCCGATAGATTATAGGTTTAGTCCCTCCCCCTCTTTTTAACATAGTGGAAGACTAACTCATAAGAAGATTAAGCAATTTGCTTAAGGGTTGTAGCAAGTCAGCCTCAGAAGCTGAAATAAAACTGAGGTTTTTGTCACTTTTCTAGGGTCCAGACTATTATCATTAAACTTCTACAGGAGATCATTCATGACTTCTTTTGGTTGTTTGAATGTTATAACATCTGGATCTTCTGATTATTTTGTTCTAAAAATATTCATCTTATTTTCCCATTGGGAATAGGGAGTTGTGGTCACGGCGGTGTGGCGAATATCAGCAAACCTTTCATTGTTCAGCTAAATTGGAAAGGGGCTGCCTTTAAGTATGGAGCCTGGGGAAGAGATTACACTCCACATGAACCAACGAAAACACTCTACTGGGTGGCCCCCTTGAACACAGATGAAAGGTACCTAGAATATTATCGACTTTACGACACTATGGATGACTTGCTGCTCTACAAAAATCCCCGAGAGTTTCGAATCCGATATGGAGATGGCAGTGGTATGGCTGTTTACAACAACTTCATGTACTTCAACTATTATTCTACAGGCGACATTGCCAAGCTTGACTTAAACACCAACACTATTACCTCGAGAGTGAGGCTTCCCAATGCTGTCTATAACAACCGCTTTTCCTATGCGGGTGTCAATTGGCAAGATATGGACTTTGCTGTGGATGAAACTGGACTATGGGTTATCTATTCAACTGAAGCCAGTACTGGTAACATTGTGATTAGCAAAATCAATGACACTTCACTTGAGGTGCTAAACACTTGGCAAACCATGCAGTATAAGCCATCTGTCACCAATGCTTTCATCATATGTGGGGTTCTGTATGCCATTCGACCTATGAACACCAGAAAGGAAGAGATTTTTTACTACTATGACACAAACACTGGGAGAGAGGGCAGAATTAGCATCATCATGGATAAAATGCTAGAGAAAATACAGAGTGTCAACTACCACCCCCTTGATCATAAACTCTATGTCTATAATGATGCATATCTCCTGTCTTACGATCTCAGCTTTCAGCCGGAATTACAGTGACCTTGATAGGTAGGAGGGAAAGAGTTAAGTGGAGCTTTTCTTAAAAAGTGAAATGCTCCCATGTCTCTGTAGCCTATTCACTCATAATCCAAGTCGAGCTTGCTTAATGATATTTAGATCACTTTTTGCATCTTCAGAGATATGTTTGGGGTTTGGAATAGTAGTATTTCCAATGAATCTTATTTTACCTAATTCAGTAAGCATTTATTAAGTATCGGTAAACATCTATTAAGTATGCCAAACCCTGTGCTGGGTGCTAGTGATAAAAAGAGACAAAAACAATAGTCCTTGTCCCCAAGGGGTTTATATTCTATTGAAAGGATTTCAACACATGTACAGATAAGTAAAAACAAAATATATACAAGGCAATCAACAATATTTTCAAGAGATAGATGACATGAATAATTGGGGAATTTGCAAAAGCTTCATATGGGAGGGATGCTCCACCTGACCTGTGCTTTGTATCTCACTGATACAAGTGTTTCTTCTATTTCCTTGGCACAGCTAAGAAAAGACGAATCTATAAATCTTTGGTCCAACCTAGCAATGGTTTTAACTAATTCAAGAGATTGAACTTATGAAAGATGAAGCACTCATAATACTTACCTCATGCACAGCAATAGTGCATGATATTAATGCTTCTGTTTTCCATAGAAGTAGCTTATTCCAGTCAAACCCTAGTGGCCTTTTTTTTTCCTTTTTGACACTGAGAGGGAATGAAAGGCCTCAAAATCACTTATACCTTCATTCAATGCACATACTTTATTTCTTCCCCATTGGGGTGCTTCAAACATAAGGCTAGAGATTTTTTGCAGAGATCCTAGCATATTCTGAAGCCCAGATTTATCTGTGTCTGATAATAAGAGCATTAATGATAAAAACTAGAGAGTTGTACTGGAACCCAAAGGATTTGCCTTCACTCTTCTATGCAAGAATGGAGTGGCACATGTCCTTCTGAGAGCTCTCTAGTATTACAAGTGATGTGGTTCTAACTGGAGACTTTGAGGAAAGCAGTCATACAGTACTTGAGACCGAGGCTAAATTACTTTGCTCTGTCATTGATATGTAGAGTTACCTAGGAAGTTACTAAATTCCTATAGTAGAAAACTTAATTTTGGTGTTGAAATGTCTAGGCCTTAGGTAGACTCCCTTCAAGACTATTTGATATGGGGCAGCTAGATGGCACAGTCAATATAGTACCATCCCTGGAGTCAGGAGGACTTGAGTTCAAATCTGCCCTCAAACACTCACTAGCTGTGTCACCCTGCATATATTACTTAACCCAGATTCCCTCTGGAAAAAAAAACAAACAAAAAAAGTACACAACAAAAACTATGTTATTTGGCAGATGCTCTGCTTTTGATGTATTGGACTCACTATAGGCAGGCACTCTATCCCCTGCTTCTCCAGCATGATCCTGATAATGCCTAAAAAGTTACACAGAAATCTTGGGACTCAGAAACTGTCACCTCCTTGTGGGACTCTATCTACTGTTTTGTCATTCCCTGTGGAACCTGGTATAATGTCATGCATTGTATCATCAAACTGTTTTGAGCTTCTTGGGGAAAGGCACTTCTGCAGGTCACACAGAATGTTGAGAATTCGTCCTGGCTATTTGTAGGTGAGAAATAGCTTGCTGCGGTGGATAGAGATCTGACCTTGGGACTGGTAAGACTTAAGTCCATGTTCTGCCTTCCTGTGTGACCCAGGCCAGATTACCTGACCTATTATCATTCCAGGATACTTTCTAAGACTTTAAGTTACAGAGAAGGTACTGCCCTGCATTGGTAAAGGAATTTTCTTCATCTGGAAGTTCCCTATACTAATATAATCTCAGGTCCAGTTGCTGTCCCTGTCCCTGTCCTGTCTACAGGCAAGTCACTTAACTCTTATATGATCTGTTTCTCCATCAATAAAATAGGGCTGACACCAGCCACCTATCTCATAACTTTGCATATAAGGCAATTTTGAACATAAGAACCAAAGAGTCACTGGCCCATTCTGTTTTGCCTTCTGTGGCACAGGCCATAAGACAAATAAAATTAAATTTTTTACTACTCAGCTTCTCATAAACTTTTACTTGTTTCAGGTGTAGAGGCACACAGGTGATGGTGTGTCTGACATAAAGTGGTGTAGGGGTGATGGTAATATTAATCTACTTTGTTTCTGTGATTTTTGATTATGTGATAATGTATTGAAGTGTAGTTGAGAATTTTAATGTGAACAATTTTAATTCAGTTTCTGTTAAATGCTTTAAAAATGTGTTTCCCTCTTCCCCCTTTAGAAATGTAGAAATAATAAGGAATGAAAAATTCACCATTTTTCTTGGTCTATACTTGTTTTATGGGAAAGGCTATGGGGGCAAGAGGTGGAATATATTTCTTCAATCAATGGAATAGTTAAAAGATATACAGTCCTGTATATTTTTGTATTGCTTCTGTCCATTTTTCTCTGATGACTTAGCATGTGAGGATAGGTCCTCAAGTTCTTTTTAATAAATGGTTAAAAGTGCATTTCTGGAAATTCTTATTTGAACATCAGGGATCAGTACATAGGCCACCCACACCTTCCTGCTGCCCTCTGCCAAGTAATGATATTTCTTTGCAAGTCCTAGGATTCAGCTCACTGACAGCCCCTTCAAGTTTCATGTTTTCAACCACTTCCCCTCTTTGTACTGGGTTTCCAGTAACCAGCTGACTCTTCAGAGGAAGAATGCGGTCTTTCCCACCATCTCCCGATTTTCCTTGCCCCTATGAAGCAGCCCCTCACCATCCTTAGTATTTAAAAAGTAATTACCAAGCATTACAGGGAAAGCCTTAACACCTGGAGTGTGGAGGGTGGGTGGCAACAATAACAGATTATTAAAAGGGTAAGATTGATAATATATAAAAATTCTTAGAGGGTGAACCATGACTCAATATGCCAACTACAGAGAATTAGACCTCACTATTTCTTGGCTCTATTTGCTTTCCTTTTCATGTCTTGTTCTTGATGTTAATTCAGTTTTAGCTTTCCAATAACAGTTATTTAATCAACCAACAAATATCTATTAAGTACTTACTATGGACCACGTACTGTGTTAAGCACTATGGATACAAATAAAGGGGAAAACATGGGTCTTGCCCTCAAAGAACTCACATTTTAATGGAGTAGACAACATGCAAAACCAAATTGTACATACAAGATATATACAGTGTAAATGGAAAGTAATCTCAGAGGGGAAGTGCTAATGTGGAAGTGGGGTGGAAGTGGGAAAGTCCTGCAGAAGGTGGGATTTGAGCTGAGTCTAGAAGGAATCCAGGGAAACCAGCAGGACATTCCAGGCATGAGGGACAGACAGTAAAAAGGCGTGGAGTTGAAAGATGGAGTAATAGCAAGAAGGTTAGTTATCACTGAATCATAGAGTGCATTGAGGGGAATAAAATATAAGAAGAATAGAAAGATAGGAAAGGGCCAAAGGGTGAAGGTATTTAATTGCCAAATAAGATTTGATATTCAATCCTGGAGATAATAGGGAGCCACTGAAGTCTATTGAGTAAGGATGGGTGTGGAAGGTGTGACATGGTCAGATAAACTTTAGGAAGATCGTTTTGGAAGTTGAATAGAGGATATACTGGAATGAGGAGAGAATTGAGGTAGGGAGATCAACCAGAAGGCTACTGTAAGATCCAGGCATGAGGCAAGGAGGATGTACATCAGGATAGAAGCTGTGTGGGTGAAGAGAAGAGGATATAATATGAGAGATGTTACGAAAGTAAAAATGACAAGAATTGATGATGTATTGGATATGGTAGGGTAACCTTTATCTCTAGTGTTAGTGTTTGAAAAGTGCTTTAAATACATTATCTCATTTGATCTTCACAAAAATACTTGAAGTGGGTAATATTAATTTTTTCTTTTGCATGACGCCTCTGATTTCATTAATATAGGCAACTCCCTGTGTTGATGTAGATGGGCATTTGCCCTGGCCACATGGGCTTAGATAGTTAACTGAGGGCACTGAGAGGTTAAATGAATTGCCTCCAGTTACACAGGCAATGTGTATCAGATGTCAGGTCTTCTGACTCCAGGCCATCTCTATCCTGTGCCTCTTGAGTGTCATTATTTTCCCCATTTTATGACATGGAAACCAAGACTAAATGACTTGTCCAAGGTCACATTGCTAGTATATATCTAAGGTGGTAATCAAACCTAGTTCTTCCTGACTCTGTCCAGTGCCATGTCCATTATGCCATATTACCCTCACTCTAGTTGCTGAACACATTTAGCAAAGTCTCAGCTATTTAGAATCTATTTAAAATCTTAGTACAGTGCCCGGAACATAGTGGGTGCTTAATAAATGCCTCTTGACTGACTACTTTCTCCAACCGTTAGCTCTGGGCATGGGATCCTAGAGTCTCTGGTAGTTACTTCTATCCTGCATTGCTGATGAATTTTCGATGGGTTTCTGACATTTTGCCCTAAATCAATGGTGCCCCTTTTACCCTCGTCTAGCTGACCATGGACCTGTGACTATGAGACTCTTGTTCCCTAAGTTACAAGTCAAAAAAAGATCATTTCCCATCTGGACCCCCAAGCTCTCTCCTTTTTGGGCTTAAGTCCTTTTACCTTTCTCTTTCTATACAAGTCGACAAAACATATTTATTATTTAATATTTGTTATTCTAGCTCCTAGAAGTTCTCTGCCTCTTTCCCTCTGTCATCTCCCTTTCTGATTGGCTGCTTTTTAAAACTATTGCTCTAGAGTCCAAGGGGGTCTTAGCTTGGGGTCATGTACTTGTTTTTTTCCCTTCCAATATTTTGATAACTGAATTTCAATATAATAAGTTTCCTTTGTATTTCTATGTACTTTATACATGTAAAACCTTTATTTAGAGAATGGGTCCATAGGATTGCCGAAGAGGCTCATAGAACTCTGATTCTAGACTATCAGACAGTAGGACCTGAAACTTTTGATGAAGGTTTTCTTCACTGAATCTTGTACCCCCATGCTGTTCCTTGACTTATTTTCCACTCTGGTCCTAAACCCCAATCTCCTATTGGCATTTGGTTCATTCAAGTTAAGGCCTCATTTTTAGTTACTGGCTTCAACCACATCACTATCTCATATCCTTCATACTTGGGGTCCTTCTTCCCTGAGTTGGATCCCATAGGCTGGATGCTATTAAAAACTATTTCAAGCAAAAGTGAGTGGAACATGTAACAATTATATCACATATCCTTACTCAATTCTTCTCTAGCCACTAATTGAACAGGAACATATTAGTTTTATTATTAAATTTTTATGGAAAAACCTCAACTCAAGAATTCCATGAACCTAACTCAGCCTTATTGTTGGGTACAAAATATAACAGTGCTTAGCAAAATATAACACATCCATCCAATTATGTCTCTATGTTTAAAATTATTTTTGTAGTTGCCTTTTATTTTTACATTGTATTCTATCTGAATATATCTCCCCATCCTACCCAGTGAGTCATTAAAAAGATTAAAAAAGAACAATAAAAAAAACCAGTTCAACAAAACTATTCAACACATCTTCTTATGTGATATTTCACACCCATAGTCCCCTACTTCTACAATGAAGGGAGGAAAGTGCATTATTTCATCTCCTCTTCAAGGCCAATCTTAGTCATTATAGTTACATACATTCAGTTTCATTCTTTTTTTCATTTACATGGTTACACTGTATTGTATTTATATTATTTTGTCATTTGTATGTATTTGTCATTGTATATATTATTTTACTCGTTCTGCGTATGTTAGATCTTTCCTTTTTGTATGTGTATACACAAGTACATATATTTCCATGTTTCTTTAATTTCTTAATAGTCATCATTTTTTTTACAATTCAGTAATCCATTATATACATGTACCACAGCTTGTTTACCCATTCCCTAAATAATAGGCACCTACTTTGTTTATAGTTCTTTGTTACCACAAAATGTGCTGCAATGAATATTTTGGTATATATGGGACAGTTCTTTCTGTCTTTGACCTCCTTGAGCATTTGTAGTAGTGATGAGTGGGTATGGATATCTTAATTGCCTTCCTTTGCATAATTCTAAATTGCTTTTCAGAATGGTTAGACCAATTTACAGTTCCACTGATATTGTCTTAGTGTGACTGGCTTCCTGTAGCCTATTCTACATGAGCTCTTTTCATCTTTTGCCTTTTTTTTCCAATTTGCTAGGTGTGAGGCAAAACCTCAGAGTTGTTTTAATTTGCATTTCTCTTTTCAGTGACTTAGAGCAATCTTTCATTTGATTCTTAAGAGTTTGCAATTCATCTTCTGAGAATTACTCGCTTATACCCTTTGATCACTTGTTCATTGGGAAGCATCCAATCATTTCTCAGATAGAATCAATTACTAAGTCCTGTTGAGTCCAACTTTGCGACATTTAATCCAACAAATATTTATTGAATGTTTTCTATTTAGGGTAGTGGGAATAAAAAGTCAATGGGGAAAAAAAATAGTCCTTGCCCTTAAGGAGCTTAAATGTTACTGGTGGGTTAAAACATAGACCCAGATGTATAAATATAAGGTAATTTGAGGAGTGAGAATATATTAACAACTAGAAAGAACTGAAAAGGTCAGCCTCAGTTGTTTTGCTAGTTGTTTGGCCCTGTGAAAAATCACTTAACCTTTTCCTGCCTCATTTTCCTCATCTGTAAAATGGGGATAATAATAACATCTACCTCTCAGGGTGATGAGGATTAAATGAGATAATATTTGTAGACTACTTGGCACAATGCCTGGTACATAGTTGGTAGTTAACCAATGCTTGTTCCCTTCTCTTCACCAGTAGCATATGAGATATTAGCTGAACTTTAAATGAAGTTAGGGATTTTAAGAAGTAGAAATAATGCAGGTGAAGATAAAATGAGAGGTTCAGGAAAAAGAAGGTAGGTCCATTCAGCTGGAATGTAGAGTGTATAAAGGGAATAAATGTGAACTAAATGTGGGAAGATAGATTGGATCCAGATTTTGAAGGGCTTTCAATGCCAAACTGGGAAGTTTGCGTTTTTATGCTAGAAGAAATAGGGAGTCATTGAAAGTTATTGGGTAGGGGAGTGACCTGTTGAGACTTGTGTTTTAAAAAGATTATTTTGTCAGCTGTGTGAAGATGAGGAACCTGTGGCCTTGAGGCAACATGCGGTCTTATAGGTCCTTGGGTGCAGCCTTTTGACTGAGTCCAAGTTTTACAGAACAAATCCATTTATTAAGGGGATTTGTTCTGTGAAGTTTGGATTCAGTCAAAGGGCCACATTTGAGGACCTAGAGGGCCACATATGGACTTGAGGCTGCAAGTTCCCTACCTCTGGAACTAGATAGAGGGAAAGGATGGAAACTAGGATTCAGTCAACAATAACTTCTTATGCATTTATTAGGTCAGGCTAAGGGTTGGAAATGCAAAGAAAGGCAGAAATGCTGTCATACCCCGAAGGGGTTCTGTTGCGTGCCGGTGGGTCCCCTAGCTGACGTAGTGCACTTAGTCAGCTATCCCACCCAA